TACCCCGGCGTCCTGGCCACATTCCCCCCTGGCCTTTACCAGTCATGGCCTCCTAATAATCCCCGTCTATGAACTGGCTTCATCCCTCTGTTCTCCTGCCCACTGATAGCTGGTGTGTGGGGAGCATACTGGCGCACTATGGCTGCCGTCGCATCATCCAGGTGGGGGCTGCACACTGGTGGTGGTGGAGGTGGGTTTGAGTGGAGTGTCCAGAAAAGTGCTATGTACTGTACGTGTAAGGATTCTATTATATCCTTGACCCATAAAAGACTCTGTTTCTAATTTTAACTTTTGTAAAACTACCTACATTTTTATTATTCATATTCAGCAGTCCAAATTACCTGTCCAGTGCTTTGAGTGGAGAGGCCAGAAAAATGCTATAGGATATTAGTAGTAGTAAACACTGGAAGGGGGTTGGAGAGCTGTGTGAAAAGTGCTGTCGCTTTTCACACAACTGTGGTTTGACACTGACCCTGTGCTTTGTCCTCTGCAGTGGAGTGGAGCTGCTGTCCCTCAATGTCTCCTCTGCTGGGAGAGGTAGTTCTGGAAGATGTCCGGTCCCTCCAGCACACCATCACAGGGCTGCCGTCAGTAAGTATGCTCTAGCAGTGTGGTTCTGGTGGTGTTGAAGGGTGGGGGGCCCAAATATTGACGTCTGTTTGAGTTTTTATCGTGTCACTTAAAACCAAAGCGTAAATCTCTCCCCTGAGAGGCAGTACCTTGGCAAGCAGACGTAAATGAGTCACATTTTTAACCGAAAGCGTCGTGACAACGGTCCCTATGCTTTCCAAATTGTACTTAATGATTTCTTCTGATTTCTGTGTTTTGATTTTTGGGGAGGTATTAAAGGAAATCAAATTGGGCTCTGTTAAATGTCTGCCTTGGTTTCTTGCCTTGATGTGCACTAGAAGATGAGCTGTCAGAGCAGCACTCTGTTTGCAGTTTCGCATGTGTTTACTTAAGAGATGCAGCTGAGAGTTTGCTGTCTGAGCTTGTTGGTGTGTGATGTGTGTAGGGTGAGAGTCGGGGGATGTTAGGTGGTAACCACTGTTATGCTGTACTTTGCGGGAATTTGGAAAAGGCAGATGGGCAACACTGAAATATTGCCCCGTGTTAATTCGTTCAGCTGGGAGTTCTTCTAGAAACAAGTTACTCCCGAAGTGAACATGCCTTCCCAGGCTGTTTATTCTTTTGCACTCTAAAAGTTGAGGCCCGGTCCTGTACTCGTAGTCACAGGTCTAAATCACGGACTTGTGGTTCACTTGTGGACACTGTCTTCAAATCTAAACTTAAAACTGACCTTCTTACAAAAGGTCTACGTCTGCCTACAGTCAATCTGTAAAAGCTTGTATTGTTCTGGTGTTTTATTTTCTTTCCTCATGTACTTTTATGTAATTTTTCTTTATTCATGATATAGCAGTGTCCTTGGGTTTGGAAAGGCACTTTATAAATAAAAGTATTACTATCTCAGTCCCAGCTCACCAATGGCAGTGCCACTACCAGTGCTTTTCAACATTTACATTTTTGCTCTAC